AGCTCTAAACCACTGTGGGCAGCCATCGAGTGCTAGGTACCACTGCCACTGTGGTAGTGGCTGAGTACGAAGAAGGGAACCAGGGGACAGGGACAAGATAGATGCAAGGGTGAGAAGGAGAAAGCAGCAGGAGTACAAGGACAGAAGCAGGTAGCGCAAGAGGGGTTTCTCCGACAGCTGAGACTACGTAGAAGAGGGTTGGAGCAGAGAGCCTGACAGTCAAGGGGGGGATATGCGGAGGACAGGGGGACGGAAGAGGGGAGGAGCGGGAATGAGTGAAGGGAAGGTATGTAGGACACATGTGGTGGAATGCATGAGATGGTGGTTGGGTGATGGTGAGAGCATGGGATATCATGAGATGGGATGCCAACCCTCCACAGGAGCCAAGTACCAAACCTTCACTTTCAAACCTGAACCATCACCTGAACCTCTATACCAAACAAAAAAACTGACAGGGGGGAGGCTCTGTGGAGGGGTGGTTGGCATGACAGTGCGGACAAAGGCGGATGGGGGGATGACAGAGCAGGGAAAAGTGGTGTTCAAACAACTGCTTGAGCTGAAACAGAAACTGCCCATGTTGTAACCAAGGGTGTGACTTATCTTAGTGTGGAGCGTTGAGAGGGTTGCTTAACTGCCCCTTGCTTCTGCACTTTGCAGCTGCTGCGCCTTGCTGCTGCCCCTTGCTCCTGCGCTTTGCTGCTGAGACAGGGGAGGGTTGAAGCAGAGAGTTTGGCAGGCAGGGGAAGGCAGGGAAGGGGTGGACGAGAGGGACAAGGAAAGCGTCCAAGATTGAGTGAAGGGAGGCTATGGAGGGCACAAGGGATTGCGTGCATGTGCTCTGGATGATGGTGAGAGCATGGGATGGCATGAGATGCTGCATGATGCAGTGACAACACTCCCTCCACAGGAGCCAAGTACCAAACCTTCACCTTTCACCTGAACCATAACCTGAATTGAACCTAAACCCAAAGAAAGACCTAGTACCTTAACCAAGGGGGAAGGCTCTGTGGAGGGGTGCTTGGCATGACAGCGAGTGGAGGGAGGCGCAGGAGGAGGTGGACTAGAAACCATTGTTGTGCAGGAGGTCGTGAGCTTATCTTTGTGTGAAGCGTTGAGGCTGCCTTGCTGCCCCTTGCTGCTGCACCTTGTTACTGCCCCTTTCTGCACGTCAGGCTTTGAGCAGAGAGCCTGGCAGACGGGCTAAGTTGCAATATACGCTTATAGCGTATATACGCTTATCGTATATACGCTAGCGTATGCACGCTATCCGCTTGGGGGTCGACTTTGGAATACGCTTTTCCGGGCAGGGAAAAAACTTTCCCGGGCAGGGCAAAAAAACCACTTGGGGATGTTTGGGGGTGGGGGAGGGGTGAGGCATTTTGGGGGTTTTGCAACACAGTTTTTTTTTTCCCATAATAATATTACGACACCATACACACACACATGTCACTAATACTCTCCTGCCACCCTAGTTCTAAGCGTACTCGTCCTCCAGGACGTCATCCTCGCCTTCCTCCTCCTCCACCTCCGTCTCATCCAACCCGTTGTACCCCTTGGGGATAGGAGGCTCGTCCCCAATCCCTGGCACAACGTTCGGCATTACATCTGCGCGCGAGTGCCAGTTGCGCACAACATTCCAGTTGTGCGCAACAAAAACCAGGTCCTGGCACTTTGCAGATCCAAGGCGGTTCCGGCGGGCTGTGTGGACTGCATCCCAAGTTCCCCACCCACGCTCACAAGGGGATGCCGATACAGGCTGAGATAGCACCCTCACGGCGAAGCGCATCAGGTGAGGTGCATCTGTGCCGTTCCACTGCCACCACTTCACCATGCTGTACTTACCCGCCTTCACCATCTCCCTCTGTGCAAGCGCCTCCGGCATCCCAAAACTGCCTTTCATGTCCAAGAAAGCCCTCAGCCCGTCACCCAAGGCAAGCAAGTAATCTGGACCCTCATCCCTCCCCTTCCCGTCGTGGCCGATGAGGAACTCCACGTGCTGGTTGATTAACGCCTTGATAACCCTGGTGCATTCGGCGTCGCTGCCAAAGATATCCTCCTCCTGGTTGGCGGGGTTGAGGATTCGGCCAGCAACGTGCATGGCGCAGGCGAGGTTGTTATCCCAGCGGTCCTTGATGATGCTGCGGATCTTTTCCTTGTCCGCGCTACTCAGCTGCTGCTCATCCTCGTCCAGGATGTTGTTGACATCCTCGGTAAGCTGCAGCATTACATCGTAGAGCCGGCCCATCATCCCATTGGCATCTGCGTCAGTCTGCCGCATCGCCTTGTAGGGCGGTTGCATCAGCTTGCAGAAGAATTTTGCCGTCCGCCACCATGCGTCATCGAGGACCCGTGCAGCAAAGGTCTCGGCAGTTTCCTTCTGCGACCCCGAGGCCCACTCCTTCCACCTGTCGGAAAGCACCATCGCGTTGAGGGTGCTACGCAACTGACAAAGGCGGGACACAGCAATGTATTGTGTCCCGAACCGTGTTCCCGCTGGCTTCAGCGGCTGCAGCACCTTCCCCTCCACCAACTCCTTGGTCCTCAGGTAAGCTCGCGTCCAATGATGGTTGCGAACGAACGAACTCATCTCCCCAGTCCGATCCACCACCCCTTTTGCCCACCCCATCTTTCTCACGTCCTCCAGGAGGAGATCCATCACATGCGTGGCACAAGGGACCTGCTAAATGTGGGGCCACTTGGCAATCAGCTCCTGGACAGCCACGGCATAGTTCGACCCCCCATCCATACAAAACGCGACGAAATTTTCTGGTCCTACCTCCTCCACCACCGGCTGCAGAATCCCCGCTATGTATCCCCTCGTCTTCCGCTCCATACCGCAGTCGATCGCCTCCCTGAAGACGGCGCTGGAGTCGTTGATCAGAAGCACGTTCGCTTGCGCCCTCCCACATTTGTCCGTCATCATGTCGGACGCAATTGTTACCCCCGTCTTCTTCCAGCTCGATTTAATCCCCACCAGCCCCTGCTCAATCCCTTTGCGGACAGCGACCAGTCCAGCCCCGCCAATGAAAGTCCTCCTTGGGGGGGACGTAGCCGTTGCCGGCGCGGTTGACGAGCAGCATGGCGTCGATGAACAGCGGGTGGTCCATGGTGACCTCCGGGATTCTGCGGGCCGCAAACATCAGCGCAAGGCCCTCGTGAGCATCCCGCTTAGCCGCAGCGGCATCTTCCTCCAAGTAGTCGGTTATGCGCCGCTTCCCTCCGCCAGCCTGTACTGCCGCAACTGCAGCAGATGTTGCTCGGCGCTTTTCCTCGATCGCGGCAGCCATCTTTTCGTATTTGGTGCGCATCTCGTTGCGTACGTCTTGCGGTGCCTCCTTGCAAAGCGTCACCTCGCGACGCTTCATTCCCTTCCACGAGCTCAGGTGCTGCGCGCAACGAATGGCTGCACCGGTGAAAACATTGAAGCAGTACTTACACTCGTACTGCTGTGCTTTGCCTTCTTCCCGCACAATGAGGCTGAAATGTTTGAAGACAGCGTGTTCCGGCATGTCAGGAAGGTAATCCCTACCCTCAGGTCGAACAATCCGAGAACTCTGCACTGTCTGAACGGATGGCGGTGTGCATGGCGGGCTAGACATTACGAAAGAGACGGGGAACTGATGAATTGCGTAGTTGCTTGCAACCCACTAAGTAGCACAACGAGAGAAGGGAACATTGGGACATTTGGTTGGAGTGAGTAGATGGGAGGGCATTCAATGCGGTAACAAACAGAGCGCACAAAGTGTGTACATGAAAACGCGACTTGACAAATTGACACAACCAATCTCGACTACGTGGGTTGAACCCACGTCCACGATTGGACAATTCACGTATGTGCAATTCGCGTTCTGCAAAAAGCCACATCCACAATTGGACAAGTCACGTTCGTGCAATTCGCCTTAGGCAAAACGCACGTCGTGAAATTCCGCATCTTTCCGTATGTTCGATTTTTTTTCCGCACGGGCAGCCCCAAAACAAATTTGCCGAGCGTATAGCGGATTCGCTTGCGTATAGCGTGTTGCGTGTATATGCAAGCGGATATCCGCTAAACGCAAACAGGCCTGAGCGTTTATTGCAACTTAGGACAGGGGGGGATAAAGGAGGCCGAGTGGAGGGAAGAAGGGAGGGAGCGGAAGTGATTAAAGGGAGGACACAGGCAGCGGGATGTGTGCATGTGCGGTGGGTGATGGTGAGAGCATGGGATGGCATGACAGGCGGCATGGTGCAGCGCCCTCCACAGGAGCCAAGTACCAAAACCTGAACCATAACCTGAACCTTGCACCTGAACCTCAACCTGGAAAAAAACCTGAAACTACCAATGGGGGAGGCTCTGTGGAGGGGTGGTTGACATGACAGCAAGGAGGAACGCGCAAGGAGGGTATGGCAGTGCAGCGAATGTTGGGATGTGGGCTCAAAGAAGAGATTGAGCTGAAACAGAAACGGAGCGGGTATGAAACCAGGGTTGTGGACTTATCTTTGTGTGGGCGTCGAGGGTGCTTTGCTTAGCCTTGCTGTGCTTGCGCGTTGGACTCCTGTAGAGGCTTGGAGCAGTGAGCCTGACAGTCGGGGGTAAGGTGAGGGCGGGGGGAGGGAAGAGGGGAGGGAAGAGGGGAGGAAACGTGAGTGAGTATAGGGAAGCTATGGAGGATACTGGAAAGGGGGAAGCGTGAATGTGCAGTGAGTCATGACACGGTCACATGAAGAATGGTGCTGTACCCTCCATGCCCTCCACAGGAGCCAAGTACCAAACCGTTATCTTTTACCTGGACCTTTACCTGAAAAGAAAAACCTGGACCTTCACCGAGGGGAGAGGCTCTGTGGAGGGGTGGTTGGCATGACAGCAAGCAGGAAGGCGGATGGGGGGTATGCATGACATTGCAGTGCATGTCGAGATGTGGGCTGGAGAGCTTTTCATGTGCAACAGGAACGGAGTAGGTAAGAAAGAAACCACGGGTGAGGGCTTATCTTTGTGTAAAGCGTTGATGGTGCTTTGCTAGGCCTTAGTCCTGCGCCTTCCTCCTGTGCCATGCTCGTGGGCCTTCCTCCTGTGCCATGCTCGTGGGCCTTCCTCCTGTGCCATGCTGGTGGGCCTTCCTCCTGTGCCATGCTCGTGCGCCTTCCTCCTGTGCCATGCTCGTGGGCCTTCCTGCTGCGCCTTGCACTCCAGTAGAGGCTTGGAGCAGCAAGCCTGGCAGTCAGGGAGGGATAGGGTGAGGACGGAGGGAAGGAAGAGGGAAGGGAGCGGGAATGAGTGAAGGGAAGGTATGGAGGACACAAGGGACGGAATGCATGCATATGCAGTGGGTGCATGTGAAGGGAAAGTGAGACATGGTGCTGCGGCCAACGCTCCCTCCACAGGAGCCAAGTACCAAACCTTTACCATTCACCTGAACCATAACCTGAACCTTAACCTGAAAAGAAACCTGAACCTCACCAAGAGGGAAGTCTCTGTGGAGGGGTGGTTGGCATGAGAGCCAGGGGGAGGGCGGATGGGGGGATGACAGCGCAGGGAACATGAGCTTGAGCTGAAAGAGAAAAGGAGCGGGTATGAAACCAAGGGGAGAGGGCTTATCTTTGTGCGGAGCGTTGAAGGTGCGTTGCTGCCCCTTGATGCTGCGCCTTGCTTCTTCACCTTGCTGTTGCACCTTGAACAGGCTTGAAGCAGAGTGCCTGGCAGTCAGGGGGGGAAAAAGAAGGGTAGAAGGGAGGAAAGAGGGAAGTGAGCAGGAGGGAGTGAAGGGCCGCTATCGATGACACAAGGGAGAATGGGTGATGGTGAGCGTGAGCATGGGATGGCATGAGATTGGGTATGCTGCTGTGCCATGCCAACCACGCCCTCCATAGAAGCCAAGTACCACACCTCGAAAGTCCACCTCGCATCCTCACCTGAACCTTCACCTGAACCCCAACCTGACCTACACCTGAACCAGCACCTGACCTAAACTTGGGGGAGAGGCTCCATGGAGGGACGGCTGACACGGCAGCAGGTGGGGGGGCGAGGAAATGGCAAGGCAGGCAGCATGGCGGTAGGGGTTGCAAAAGCAGACAGGGAGCAGATGAGAACCCAAGGGCGGTGAGCTTATCTGTTGATGGCGCGTGCACGGGCGCTGCAGGCCCGGGCGCTCGCTTGCAGGCGTGCAGAGGGGCCTCGGTGGTGCCTTGCGCCTTGGTGATGCCTTGAGTGTTGGCTAGCGAGGGGCCTCCAAACCAAAACAACACCTGCCAGCGAAGGAGAGGCAGAGAAAGAAAGAGAGTGAGTGCAAGGAAACCATGGCTGTAAGGAAAACGAAGTGAGAGCTGTGCAAGAGTGGTGTGGGGAGTGAGTGGTGAGCATGCAAGGTGCACCACAACCTTTACCGTACCTCAACCTTTACCGTGCCTCAACCTTTACCGTACCTCAACCTTTACCGTGCCTCAACCTTTACCGTACCTCAACCTTTTCCGTGCCTCAACCTTTACCGTGCCTCAACCTTTACCGTACCTCAACCTTTACCGTGCCTCAACCTTTACCGTGCCTCAACCTTTACCGTACCTCAACCTTTACCGTGCCTCAACCTCAACCTTTACCGAAGTGGGGGGAGGGGGGGCTGTTGTGGTGTGTGGAGGTGGATACTTGCAAGCTTGAGCCTTCAATTGGGAGCTGCTCATGTGCGCCGCAGCACAGCAGCCCCTCCAGCTGGACCATGAGGCGCCTTCACCCCTCGCCAGCCGTCCACAGGAGCTGCCGCTGCCACATGGGCGAGCAGGGGCGCCCAGGAGGAGCTGTCGCTGCAAGATGGGCTCCTGGCAGGCAGGGGAGAAGAAGCACGACAGAGAGCAAGCAGAGAGAGAGTCATTCACCAACTGCCTGTCAGAGCATGCATCTGTGGTGGGGATGCTGTGAGCATTACATGGGATGCTGTGAGATGTGGCATGGTGCAGTGCAGTGCTCGCCACGCCCTCCACAGGAGCCAAGTACCAAAACTTGTACCTCATACCAACCTTAATCTGAACCAACCATATCATACATGTACCTTGACCGAAGGGGAGGAGGCTCTGAGGAGAGGTGGCTCGCATGCACGCAAGCAAGCGATGCTTGCGGATGGGGATGGCGAATGACAGACATGCATGTGGAGAGAAACAGGCAGAGAGAGAATAAAGCCGAGGAGACGTATCTGTATGTGGGGCGAGTGAGGCGCCTCAACAGGCGATGCTGCAGGCCTTGGAGCTTGCAGCAGTGCAGAGGGGCCTTGAAGGTGCCTCGCGCCTTGGTGCTGCCTTGAGTGTTGGTGCTAGCGATGGGCCCTCCTCTGCTCCTTTGCTCCTCTGCTCCTCTGCAGCTTGCGCCCACGCCGCCAGCCTTGTGAGCAGAAGGGCCTTGGCGTTCCAGCGGTCATTCAAACGTGCCAGGGAAGCGAGGAGAAAAGTCAGTGAGTACATGGCGGCAGGCAACAATCCAACGGAAAGAAGATGCGAATGAAGGACAGATGCACGACCACAGCACCACACGAGCCAGGTAAAAAAAAAACACCTGAAGGGGTACCTGAACCTTGACCTTCACCAGGGGGGGGGCTCATGTGGAGTGTGGAGGGCGCAAATGATACTTTCAACCTTCTATAAGTTGGAGGCTGCGCCTTTGCTCCTCTGCTCCTCTGCAGCTTTGCACCCACGCCGCCAGCCTTCAATTCAACCTTCACTGTTGCAATTAGTTGTTAAATCGTGGCTCCCGTGTAGTCCGTTCACTTGCACCCCTTGAATTCGGCATGAGCTGGCCTGGGTGGCCAGGCTTCCTCATTGGGATGGTCGTGGCTGGTCACTTCTCAGTATGATGGGTGGTGCTGACTCCTGAAAAAGAGCACAGAAAAGAAGCTCAGTACAAGAACAGGAAAAAGGCGAAACTGAGGCTGAAACGGCAACAAAACAAAATCTGGAACATACTTGGAATAACGGTGGTTGGAGCAGGAGAAGGAGGTGTGCAACAGCAGTTGTTGCTTCAGCCAGCGTCCTGATGTTAATGTAGCCAGCGTCCTGATGTTGCTGCAGGCAGCGTTGTACACATTGGTGCAGAGACTCGTGCCTGCACACAAATCACCACGAAATGTTAATTTCTGGATGATTGCACCGCAGTAGCCAATCGAAAATCAATTGACGAAAGAAATTTTAACTAGGCCCTTGGGAGCTCACCTCGGGAATGAAATTGAGAACTGCGGTCAGCAAATCGGTGAATGGCGAGGCGAATGGCGGATGGCGGAACTCCCGAGGTAAACGAAGCCGTACAGCGGAGAAAGGATGGAAGAAGTGGAGAATCAGGCCTTGGAGGAGTAAATTGGTGGCGTGGACGTGGATTCAGCGAACCGGAATTGTCCTTGGAGAAATAGAAATGTTAGAAATGTGCGGAGCGAGAACGATGACGTAGCAAAACTGGTAGAATGATCGAAGGGTCCTTCGCGAAATGAGGGTCGGGAAATGAGGGTCGCGAAATGAGGATGCTGAGAGGCAAAATGCCACGAAAGAGCCCTACGCAGTATAATTTCCCTGGAACTTGAGTCGCTGACGTCATGTGTGGTCGAAATGTTACGTCGCGGTAAAATCGAAATGACCTTCAACGGTAAAAAAAATGCCTTGCTGGTCTCTACGGTGGTCCCAAAGAGTGCCAGCATGGAATATTCTACAACCAGGGAAAGAAATGAAAGGAAAGGTTCGCCTTGCACCACGTCATACAGAATCCTCACTTCATTGAAAAAATCCGCCTAGGGAGTTTCCGATTTGCCTACGTGGGCTTTTTCGAACGGTAGATAGTTCGCAGACCCACGTGAAGAAACCAACTCCGAAGCTGGTCACATGAGTGTGACGTGTTCATGAAATGCATGACGTTTATCCCATTTCACACCACCAATCTCATCGAGGTGCGCCAGTTGTACTTTCTAATTGGGTAGAAAAGGCGGTGGAAAAACAAGAGAGCAACAACTGGGAACGGTGGGCGCGAAACTTGTGCTCTGGGAATTGTTACTGACAACGCAAGCTGGAGAAAACATGAAAATTTGAGGTGGGGGGTAGAGAAGCTGGCGAGAGATCGAGCGTTTGGCGAACTTGTTGGCGAATTCCGCATCCCTCATATAGGTCATGCAGCTGCAAGATTTAAGGAGAACAGCAACTCAAGAATTTTTGTTCAGAAGTAAAGTATATTGTAAGGAAAATTCCTTTTCCTTACTTCGCATCCCCGCTCAACGCGTATATCACTGTAGCACCTCAGTCAGCACCGTTACCACTCGCATCAATAATCCGCCCGCATGTCGCACCCCGACCTCACGGCTCGGCGGTAACCCGCGCTCCGGACCTCCGCCTCGACACTTTTCCCAACCTCAGTCCCAGGCCCGTCGCGCGACAACCACAGTCCATTACCGTTGCCACTATAGTTTCGCTATATAATCCTTCGCTCATGCCTTCGCTCATTGTACTCTTGCTTCGATAGTGCAATCTTCGTTCGTTCACTCGATTGTACCCGTAACACTTGGTATTCAGAGCCTACGATCTCTTCTCGGACCGCATTCACACCTTCGTTTCCCCACTATCTCAATTTTTTGGGGGGGTTAGACGTCTCTCAGCGATCAATCACCGCCGCTCGTAGTGCTCTATCGTAAGCAGGCACGGCCACGACAGAGGCTCTCGCTGCGCTTGACCGACACCCCCGCCATGGCTGAATTTACGCTCGCGACGTTGACGCAAGAGCAACTTGACCATCTGATCCGTCAAGTTGAAGATTCAGCACTCGAGATTGCGACGCTCACGGCAGAACGTGACTCCGCGCGTCAGCAATCTGCGGCGAATGCTCCAGCGTCACAAAATGCACCTGCACAGTCAGACGAACCGATTGTCATCTCGTCCGGCACACCAACACAGCACGACAGCGTGGGACAGCGCTCAGGCGCAGCCAGTGACAGCGCCGCCCAGCCAATGCCTGGTATGGGAGGAAACCGGGCCGCACCAAGCCCACGGGAGCCTCGTGAAGCCCGTCGGCACGTGGAGTTTGCGGCAACAAGTGGCGACCAGGCAATCATGGCGCCGATGCCACTCAAGCCGCAGCGCCCGCCCTGTTTCGACCCGAGCCAGCGTGGTGGTCCGACGGTTCAGTCATGGATCTTCACGATGAACGTGTTTTTTTACGCGAACTACGTCGAGTCGGACGCAGCGAAGATACGATACGCCGTCTCGCTGTTGAGGGGCCCCGCTATGGACTGGTGGCGAGTCATCGTGACGTCGCCACGCGCCTACGAGCCACCGTCGCAAGAGGAAGGGCCCGCGGGCCCAGCAGTCAACTGGATTTCATTCTGCGAAACCGCCCAATACAGCACGTGGGATGCGTGTGTCAGATTTATATGACATAGTTGCTGTAGGCTATAGTGGGGTAGCACATATGGGGTACAGGGTTTCTAGGGTTGTATTTGTACCCAATCTTTCGTTAGTCATTTTATTCCTGTTTTCTTATCTTCCACATGGTATAGAGCGGGTCCTTCCTAAGGACGGTTTTTTTTAGGGCCCACCGAAGCGCGCCCCGAGGCGCGCATTTTTTTTCGCGACCCTTCGGGTCGCCTTACTCTCGCGGCCCCGCTGTCCCTCTGACGCGGCCCCGCCACCCCTGCTTGACGCGGCCCTGCCGCCTCCTCTGCAGCGGCTCCGCCGCCTCCTCTGACGCGGCCCCGCCGCCCGCTGATCGCGGCCCCGCCGCCCGCTCTGACGCGGCCCCGCCGCCGGCTCTGACGCGGCCCCGCCGCCCGCTGATCGCGGCCCGCCGCTGGCCCTGACGCGGCCCCGCTGCCGGCTCTTAGCCGGCCTCGCCGCCGGCTCCAACGCGGCCCCGCCGCCCGCCTCGACGAGGCCCCGCCGCCGGCTCTGACGCGGCCCCGCCGCCGCCTCCTGATCGCGGCCCCGCCTCGGCTCTCTCGCGGCCTCGCCGCCGGCCCTGACGCGGCCCCGCCCCGGCTCTCACGCGGCCCCGCCGCCGGCTTTCTTGCGGCCCCGACGCCGGCTCTCTTGCGGCCCCGCCCCGGCTCTCTTACGGCCCCGCCGCTGGCCCTGACGCTGCCCCTGCCTCGGCTCTTCGGCGGCCCCGCCGCCGGCTCTCTTGCGGCCCTGCCGCCAGCTCTGAAGCGGCCCCGCCCCTACTCTCACGCGGCCCTGCCGCCGGCTCTGACGCGGCCCCGCCCCGGTTCTTTCACGCGGCCCTGCCGCCCCACCTGCAGCAGCCGAGCCGCCCTGTCGCCGAGCCCCCCCGGGAGCCGAGCCGCCCTGCCCCCGAGCCGCCCTGCCGCCGAGCCGCCCTGCACCCGAGCCGCCCAGCCGCCGAGCAGCCCGGGAACCGAGCCGCTGTGCACCCGAGCCGCCCGGTCGCCGAGCCGCCTTTCTGCAGAGCTGCACGACCTGCCCTGCCTGGTGAGCACAGTCCCACTGTCACTGCGAGCTCTTTCCCTACTGCTTGCACTGCGTCGCTGTCGTCGCCATGGCTACCCCTAGTGTCCTAGCTTTTGACGCTGAGGGTCGCGCCATTGATTTTGAGGTCTGGTTAGACGACCTGCAGCTGTTCTTACAGTGCGACAGGGCTGACAGTCTTTCTCTCTTTGACCTCACCTCTGGCGCCTCTCCTGCTCCTGCTGCTGATGCTGATCCCACTGTCCGCTCTCAGTGGGCCACCCGCGATGCTGCTGCACGTCTTGCTGTGCGTCGCCACCTCCCTACCTCTGAGCGTGCGCACTTTAGTCAGTACAAGAGTGCTCAGACCTTGTACGACGCTGTAGTTGCGCGCTACTCCTCCCCTGCCACTGCTGCACTGAGCCGTCTCATGCTTCCCTACCTCTTTCCTGACCTCTCTGCCTTTCCCACTGTCGCTGACCTCATTACGCACCTCCGCACTAGTGACACTCGCTACCGCGCCGCCCTTCCTGCTGAGTTCTGCACTAAGAACCCACCCCCCATGTACATCGCTCTCTACTACGTAGTCG